CCCTGTGTGACACTGCACTCAGTGACACTGCCTGTGTGACACTGCCTGTGTGTGACACTGCCCCTGTGTGACACTGCCTGTGTGTGACACTGCCCCTGTGTGTGACACTGCACTCAGTGACACTGCCTGTGTGACACTGCCCTGTGTGACACTGCCCTGTGTGACACTGCACTCAGTGACACTGCCATGTGTGACACTGCCCCTGTGACACTGCCTGTGTGTGACACTGCCCTGTGTGACACTGCCCGTGTGTGACACTGCCTGTGTGTGACACTGCCTGTGTGTGACACTGCCCCTGTGTGACACTGCCTGTGTGCCACTGCCCCGGTGTGTGACACTGCCTGTGTGCCACTGCCTGTGTGCCACTGCCATGTGTGTGACACTTCTAGGTGTGACACTGCCCCTGTGTGTGACACTGCCCCTGTGTGTCACTGTCCTGTGTGACACTGCCATGTGTGTGACACTGCCTGTGTGTGACACTGCCCTGTGTGTCTCTGCCCCTGTGTCACTGCCCAGGCACGTGGCAGACACACTGGGACACAGCAGGAGCCTCCTCCTGCAGCACCAAACCCTCAGGCAGGCACACAGCCAGAGCCACTACACCTGGAAACGTCCCCTGGTGTCCCCAGCCCCGGCCAGGGGACCCAGGCTCGCGGTGTCCCCGCCCTGGCACCGCTCCCAGCCCGGCCCCGTGCCCACAGCCACCCCTGCAAGGAGCCTGGGGGGGACAGAAATGCCCCTGCCTGTGGCAGGATTGTCTCTGCCCCGGCTGGTCCTGCCCCTCTCTCAGCTCCGGGCTGGCTTTACCTTCCTCGGCTTCCAGATCCACCAGTGAAGATACCAACACGCCCAGCTCCTGACATTTTTTGCTGTGGGCCTTTGACTTCATGTGTTTAGTCAGATTCCCTGAAAAGAAGCAGAAAATCCATGTTACTCAAATATGGCTCCTTTTTCCCCCTCTTTTCCCCCCGCCTCTTATTTTTTTCCTCTTTTCATTCATACTTTTCCTTTTTTTTTTTTTTTTCTCTTTTGCATGCTCAGCAGTCACAAGTCAAAACCCTCTCTGAGCCAGACAAAGGTCCCTGAGTGTCCCCAAGCCTCTGCCCAGTGCAAATTCCCCGTGACCCGAGGCCAGGTCCCCCCTTCCCTGCCTTTGCTGCTGCCCTGGGCTGCAGGACGAGGTGCTGGCAGGGCTGTGGGACCTCTGGGGTTGTGCAGCCTGGAAAATCTGCTGGGGCACACTTTTGGGGCTGGGGGAAGAACAGGCCTGGGCTGCTTTCAGCTGTGAGGATGCAGCTGATTAAAAATGGGAGGAAAGCAGGGATGGGCAACACGTCCCAGTGTGGCATCATCATCATCATCATCCTCCAACCTCACCCCAACAGCCCAGCCTGCCTGGAGGGAAGAAGATCCTCAGCACCACAGGGCAGAGAGGATTTTCCCTGGAAATGTCCCAGAACCAAATGGATGTGGCACTTGGGGACGTGGGGCAGTGGTGGCCTTGGCAGTGCTGGGGAAGGGTTGGGCTGGATGATCCTAGAGGGCTTTTCCAGCTTTAATGATTTTATGAATTTACAATAAAATGAGCTGCCAACAAGAGGGGAAAACCCTACATTTCCATTTTCCCTCCACAAGAAGGTTTCAGGTGCTCTGGAAACATTCCAAATATGTGTGGATGTGGCACTTGGGGACATGGGCCAAGGTGGTGGCCTTGGCAGCGCTGGGGAAGGGTTGGACTGGGCTCTTCCAGCTTTAATGATTTTATAATTCTATGATAAAATGAGGATTTGAGGTGCCCTATATTCCAATTTTCTCCAAAAAGAATGGCTCAGGTGGTTTGGAAACATTCCTAAAACCGTGGATGTGGCACTTGGGGATGTGGGGCATTGGTGGCTTGGCAGTGCTGGGGAAGGGTTTGGCTGGACGATCCTGGAGAGCTTTTCCAGCTTTAATTATTTTATAATTTTATGACAAAATGAGGGTTGGAGCTGCCAAAAAGAGGGGGAAACCCTACATTGCCATTTTCCCCCAAAAAGAAGGGTTCAGGTGCTCTGGAAACATTCCAAAACCAAGTGGATGTGGCACCTGGGGACATGGGGCTTTTCCAGCTTTAATGCTTTTATAATTCTATGATAAAATGAGGGTTTGAGCTGCCAACAAGAGGGGAAACCCTGCATTGCCATTTTCCCCCCAAAAGAAGGGCTCAGGTGCTCTGAGGGGCTGGGCCAGCTCAGCTCCTGGAGCAGGAGGAGCCTTGGACATCCTCTGGAGCTCAGGAACCTCCTCATGAGGCTTCCTCAGGGCCAGGATGGGACGTGGGGTCACTGGGGCTGCTCTGGGATCACTCCTGGGCATCAGAGGGCACCTCTCTAATTCTGCCTCCCAAATTACAGGCAGGTTAATTAGACACTAATTAACCCCACTTACAGGCCAGGGAAATGCTGAGCAAAAGGAGCGTTGGCAGGAGGAGGGAAAGCAGGCAGGTGGAGCAGGCAAGAAAATGAAGGGAATGAATTAATGCAAAAATTTCCCATTTTCCCTTTTCCGCTCCTACAGCTCTTCCTAAAATCCCAGACTGGGACTGGGAGGGACCTCAAAGTCCATCCAGTGCCAGGGCAGGGACACCTCCCACCATCCCAGGGTGCTCCAAGCTCCATCCAGCCTGGCCTTGGGCACTTGCAGGGATTTATGGGATGATGAGGAGAAACCTGGGCCCTGCTGAAGGAGTTTTGGAATTTCCCATCCCCTGCTGTGCCCCCAGCCTTGCTGTACTGACACCTGAGGGCACTGAGGAGCACCAGGCTTGGTTTTCTCACCAAGGAATTAAAAAATAAAAGAGGAAAACCAGAATTCTCCCACTTTCTGACAACCTCCAGCAAGCACTGAGGTCCTGCAGTGTGAGGTGCCCAGTCCCTGAGCTGGTGGGGAGCACAGGGGCCTCTCTGAGCCTCTCCTCCTCTGATATCCTCTGGATATCAGGGATAAAAAAAGCCACTACTCACTGGAGCAGAGCGTTACCCGTGGTGCCCTCACCTCTCAGAGAGTGCCACAAGCACCCAGCTGCCACCTTGATTTCTCCTTAGCCCATGGATTATTTATTTCAGCCCATTTTACACAAAATGGAGCAGCTCCAGCAGGAAACACCACGAGACACAAAGGCTGACTCTATATCCCTGTGTATCTGACACCCAACCTGGACGTGGGTTCAGGGGATGTTTAATAACTTGAATGCTGCAAAACAGCTCCAAATAAGAGAGATTTTTTGTTTTTATGCCTCATGTTTAATTGCCCTTAGCTCCCTGGTCAGGACACTCAGGTGTGAGGATGAGTTCAGCCCAGCTCAGCTCCCTGCTCCAAACCAGAGCCTCTTTCCCCACCCCAAAGAAGGAATTTTGTCACTGCCCCAAACCCACCCCGTGAGCCAGGAGTGTGTTCTCACAGACACCTCTGCTCCCAGTGAATCACCATGGCCTGAAAATGAAAAAAAAACCCATCCACAGTCCCAGCTGTGGCCTCATGGAGCTGGAATTTCATTGTGGGAATGAGAAGCAGCGAGAGCACAGCCTGAGTCAGTGTGCTGCAGCCCAGCAATGCCCCATCCCTGCTCGGCCAAAATCCTGCCTGGAGCCCCTCCAAGGGCAGCAACACAACACCAGCAGTGCCTGCTGTGAGCAGGGGCTCTGTGGGGATCCAGCTGAGTGGGGAGGAGACATCCCCAGCGTGCTGGTGCCCCCAAACCTGCCCATAAATCCTCTGGGACATCCCCAGTGTGCTGGTGCCCCCAAACCTGCCCATAAATCCTCTGGGACATCCCCAGCGTGCTGGTGCCCCCAAACCTGCCCATAAATCCTCTGGGACATCCCCAGCGTGCTGGTGCCCCAAA